GAAAATACTAAATTATGAACAATGTTAAAATATAATTTCGTAATAAAGTAAAGAAAAGCATATGGGAAAAGCTTAAATGTTTCTTTAACAAATTCAGCAAAGAAAGTACCTTAAATCTTACTTTTTTCATTAACCAATTTAATGCGTGGAAAATAGCCTTGGTAAAGCATCTAACAGATGACTTATAAACCAAAAATCATAGTCACCAGACGTGCAATAGATCTATGAATCTGATCTTTCACATTATAACTCCTTTCATTACAAGAATAATGCTTGTTTCTCCATGTCTTTTTCCCATTTTTTCTACTCAATATAATCTATATCTATATCTAAGACAATAAGTAATGTTTCTTTGTTGTATTTCCTTGGAGTATGATAACTCAGATGAAGCTGGTTAGATTCATTTAGCAAGTAAACGCATCCTTGGTGTCTAAAATAGGTTGTATGATGATTGTAATTTGCTCATATTTGTAGTAAATTTTATACTGACCAGCTGTGCAATGGACCAGCTTGTATAAGCAATTTGACTTTTTTGAGTACTTAATACTTTTCCTTTTGTTGTTGACTTGTTGGGTAGCCTTTCTTGGCTACTTGAATAATAATTGAATACTGATAGATCCTATTATTAGTATATCCTGTGGTTTAGCAATCATTAAATACTTCAATGGTTTGCAGATGTGCCATAAGCACGGTGTCATGCATCGCGATCTCAAACCTGAAAATTTCTTATTTGCAAACAAGAAGGAAACTGCAGCCTTAAAGGCCATTGATTTTGGACTTTCAATTTTTTTTAAACCTGGTAAATGACTCATCACCTCTTGAAACATTTTTTTTCATTTAATATTTCTTTTTACACTCACGTAAAATTGTTTTTTCCCAGGCGAGAGATTTAATGAGATTGTGGGAAGCCCATATTACATGGCTCCTGAGGTGCTGAAAAGAAACTATGGTCCAGAAGTGGATGTGTGGAGTGCTGGTGTCATTCTCTATATTTTACTATGTGGCGTTCCACCTTTTTGGGCAGGTTGGTTGCGTTTTACATCAACAATCTTGGATCCTTTTAATTTCTTCACTGTTTTTAGTGTAAATTTTATTTATTTTTCTGTTTCACATAAATTAAGTTTTCTTTTCCTTTTCTGCAGAAACTGAACAAGGTGTTGCTCAAGCAATCATAAGGTCAGTTGTGGATTTCCGGAGAGACCCCTGGCCTATGGTGTCTGACAATGCAAAGGACCTTGTGAAGAAGATGCTCAACCCTGACCCCGCCAAGCGTCTTACCGCTAATGAAGTATTAGGTAATATTCATACCTCTGCTCAAGTTTAGCAGAAACTTTGAAGGAAAGAGAATGTGGGGGAAATATAAACTTTGCTCATATTTAAAAAAAATCTGTTTAAGAAATTTCTTTATGTATTACAGATATGTATATTGTTTATATGTATGTGTGTGTGTTTAGATTTCTTAGCATTTATATAATACAAATGAATACATAAAAATCAGTTCAAACAAATAATAAAACTATATTTATTGTATCTGAACCCATTTTTCATTTTCTTCTACATTTCTTTCCTTCCAAATTCTCCAATACTTCCCTCTATTTTCTTTCCCTAGATTTTTCCGTGTCTCAAACGAACGTGTAACACCCTATTTATTGTGCTCAATGACACTTGCTTAGTTGCTCGGTGATGCATTTGCTGATCAAAGTCATCTGATTTTTTGTATAAATGTATTCAGAACATCCTTGGTTACAAAATGCAAAGAAGGCTCCTAATGTTTCTTTGGGTGAAACTGTTAAGGCTAGACTAAAACAGTTCTCCATGATGAACAAGCTGAAGAAAAGAGCTCTGAGGGTACCTTTATGAAAATATGAAAGACATTGTTATTTACAACCTCACATTGATTCTATATTTAATTTATGAATTGATGTTAATCATTGTAGGTGTTAGCGGAACATCTGTCAGTGGAAGAAGTGGCTGGAATAAAGGAAGGGTTCCAATTAATGGATACAAACAACAAGGGGAAGATTGACGTTAATGAGTTGAGAGTTGGATTGCAGAAATTGGGTCATCAAGTCCCTGATTCAGATCTTCAAATTCTTATGGAAGCTGTAAGTTACTTATGATACCTGTACAAACTTCTTACCTTTGCTTACTGCATCTTCCGGAAGCCATTGCGCTTAGATAAATTGCCATCTCACAATCCAAAAAAGTAAAATATAGCTAAATGACTATTTTTCCCTCCCATATTTATTTCACTCTTGTTAAGCTTAGGGTCCATTTGGAACTCTAAAAACTATAGGCAAAGAAAATAGAGCGTAAATTATAGTAGTATTTTGATGTGAAGGAAATGTTGAGGAAAACAAAAAGTTGTTCAAATTCAATTAATTTCGGTTTCTTATTTGTTCAAGATTTATTTGTTTTTATTATATAAATACTAAAAAATCTAGATAAGGATTAACCCTATAATGTTGCTAAAATAGAACTCACTGGCAAATATATGACTACATGTTCAGTATAATAAGTGTGAGAATAGTAGCAGGCACTGCATAGTAAAATTGAACATCACCGTGGTCAATATAGTCATGGCAATAGTACCAGTTATGGTGATTGCATATTAAAGTTCATATTTTTGTCTATTATTGTAATTGTAATCATTGATTTGTAACAGAAGTACCAGTTATGGTCATTGCAAATCATTTGTTACTATTTCATCTAAATACATGTTAAAAAACTGAAACATTATTATTTTTCATTTTACCTTGCATTTTTCGTGGTTAAATTGAATATAAGAAAAAAAATTCATTACCATTTTATATCATTATATGTCTAGAAGCATAGGGGCTGTTGGGAGTTTATGAAAAAATAGTTTTCATTTTAAAAACCACAATTCCACTTTAGATATCTCACTTATTTTTATTTTTTGTTGCAGGGTGATGTTGATAAAGATGGTTATCTGGATTGTACAGAGTTTGTGGCAATTTCTGTCCACCTAAGGAAGTTGGGAAATGAGGAGCACTTGAAGAAAGTGTTTGAGTTTTTCGACAAGAACCAGAGTGGGTATATAGAGCTTGAGGAGTTACGTGATGCCTTGGCTGATGAGATTGATACAAACAGCGAAGAAATCGTTAATGCTATAATGCAAGATGTAGATACTGATAAGGTGAGTTTGTTTTATTTGGGACACCAAGAAAATGAAGATATGACATCTAATGAAAAACAAATAACCAAAAGAGAGAGAGAGAGAATGATGAATTGATAAGATTTTGTGTTGAGCTAGCTTATATACTGGATTCAATCTTTTAGTGTGGTCTGGCTGAAGTGTCTTATGGTCTAGTGCAGTTGAGTAACACCAAGGTCCCCAACGCATGGCATAAACCTGGTCCAAAATCCAGGATAAACCGAAGCTTAATTGATTCATAAACAGATTACACATGAGAAAAAGAACGAAAAAAACATAATTGAATCAGGGGTGGACCCAGCCCGTGCCTGACCCACCCATCTTGAAGTCTATCAGAGAGTTTGAACTTGAATGTGTTTATCTTTAACATAACTAAGAGCCCATTTGCTAAGGGTTATTTGGCTGGAATGAAATGGATGGATAAACGCATGGTAACACACATTTTGGCCAAAGAAGTATGCATCCTGCTGAAAAGCAGAATAAGCCACTTTTGGCACTGAACAGAGTCTAAGTTTGTTGTTTCATTATATACAGGATGGACGCATAAGCTATGATGAGTTTGCTGCAATGATGAAGGCAGGGACAGATTGGAGGAAGGCATCGAGGCAGTATTCGCGAGAACGATACAATGATCTTAGCTTGAGATTGATGAAGGATGGATCTTTGACCGATGAAGGCAGGTAGTTTAACTGGGAAGGGTAATAGAGATCTTTAACCAAAGAAGCTGTACAAGGAAAGCAGTTTGTTTTTTATTTCTTGTATTGGAAATTCATGATGATTCATTTTTAATTGTTCTGTGTGAATCCCATTGTTGTCTACAAGGAGAAAATCCGTTTGTTGTTACCACTGTTTGTTGGCTTTGTAGTAGTGTTTTTATTTGGAGGGTGTTTGTGTTGCCTGAAGCTAAAAAAATGGGAAAGGTCTGTAGCTCAGGTAGTAAATATATTGACACCTATAATTCCACTTTTTACTTATAAAGTTTCTTTAAGGTTGTGTAGATTTCAATTTCATATGTGGTCCTTCGGCTGTGTTTTGGCAAGTTTTATCTTACGTGGCATTTAGGTCCCCGTACAATCAGCACGAATGTAAATAATGTAATGACGATTATTTATTTGTTTTTTAATTTTTAATTTTTTTATTTATGCCAAGCAAGTAGTCAGATAGATGCAAGTAGTTTCTATCCTTGCACCAATTAAAAAGCTCATTCTTGTGCGCTTGGTACTACCAAATTTGGTATATGGAACAATTTTAATGAGACGAATAAAAAAAGAAAGTTGAAATAATCTTAGCACGACGGATGGAGTATATTACTTATTAATTGTGGGTTATTATTATTAGCATCATCATCATTGTTATCATCAGAATCACTATTGCTATGCCTATCATTATTATTATTAATAATAATAATAATAATAATAGTAAAAATAATAATAATAATAATTACTATTATCATCATCATTACTATTACTATCACTAGAACTAATAGTTAATAATAGTACTAATAATAGTACAGAGTAATACAATTGTAATGAATAATTATTATCATTACCATAATCTCTGTTATTAGTCAGGTCCCAAAATGTTAAACCAATGCGGCAATGCTACGTATTATATAAGGAAATTATATTCTTTTCCAAATACAAGCATTGTTTACAAAATAATGTTAACTGACATTTAGTTCTAGAGTTCTAGTGAGATTTTTTCAAAAATAAAAAATTTAAAATTTATTGAAATGTATTAATTACATTATCAATGGAAAACAATATGGTAGGACACATCGATATAAAACCTTAACAATTACAATAGCAAAATAAGAAAAATAAATAAATTTCATTTCTCTTTATTTTTCCAAACACATACCTTTTCTACAATTTTGACTCACATGAGACCGCAAGTAGTGAATGAGACTCATAGATGGGGAAAAGATTTCAAGATAATACTACTCGTACGAACTAAGGCTCAAATACTCTCCACGATAAGAATCACCAAAAATCTCTACAAGAGCAAGATCCATCTATAAACTTGTGAAACCTAACACGGTCTCTAACAATGATTTCCCTATTATACAGCCTACTAATGATCTTTGTCACTTCATGACAATCCCTACAAACTCTCAGATTCTTTACCACCCTAATGATCTTTGGTGCTTTCGTTTTCAAAAGGCCATAACCAATAGCCAACCTCTCACTGTGTTGGCACAGTGCATTTTCTTTCTCTTCATCGCTAACGTCATGTAGTACACAAGAAACCCACGGTTCATGACCCGACCCATTTACGCGATCCGATATTTCACTTAAGATACCATTTATCTCCTCGGATTCAGGATGAGAAGAATCACCCATTGTGAATTCGTGCACAAACCCGTCAATTTCAATGGAGCTACAACCAGGAGCATTCTTGATTTCTTTGTCTTTCATTTTTTTCCTCACTTGTCTCATTCCCTCCCAATCTGAAACAGAAGCGTATAAGCTAGACAACAAGATATAGTTCTCTGCATTGTGCGGTTCTATCTCGATGAGGCGTTTGGCGGTCATTTCGCCTCTTTCTAGCATCTTCTTCTTTTTGCAACCCACTAGTAAGCTACGGAGTATTGCTGGGTTTGGGGGGATTAGCATGGAATCCACAAAAGAATAGGCATCTTCGATTAAGTTTGATCGGCAAAAAAGATCAACCATCAAACCATAATGCTCCGAAGATGGATCAATCCCAGATTCAATCATCTTTGACCAATACTTTTTTCCCTCCGAAACCAATCCACTATGAGAGCACGCCACTAAGACTCCAACAAAAGTAACATGGTTAGGCATCACCTGAAAAAGGGAAATACAAGGTTCATGAGCCACCAAAAAATATAATGTCTACAAAAATGTCAATATGGGTAGGTGGGTGGTGGTGGGGGAGAATACGTGAGTTAGAGGCTGTGGAAATTATAAGAGTCTGTTTTTAAGGTGATTGACCGTATTCTTGTATGCAACCAATCCTACATACGTATTAAATATTTAAATTAATTTGTTTATTATACTGAACTTCTGCGCTTTTTGTTATGAAGCAACATTCAGTTCATGCAATTTTCGACGCGATTTTCATCATGAGTCATCAGGAAACAATCCCTTTGTGCTTTAGTACAGGGGTAAGGCTACATCCGACCCCCCTTACCCCAGTGTAGGTGGGAGCCTTTGCGGCACTGCGGTAATGTTGTTGTTGTTGTTATATTAGACTGAACTTAAGATACTTAAACTCTTTCGATTTATTGATTTTTTAAACATCAAATTAATTGAAACTTGAAAATAGCTTCTTTTGTTAAAACATGACTATTTTTTGGGACAAAGATGAGTTTCCCCTGTGTATGGGCATAATTTTTAGGCAGTGTTTGTTTCAGTGTTTTTGTGCTTTATGTGCTGCCTCAGGCGCAGAAATTAGAACAATCTGTTCGAAAGTTAAATGTGCACAGAATTCCTAGAAGTGATTCTCGGTCCTGAAACTGATCAATTTCAGAAGTTGTTAACTTCGTTAAATCTAATAACGATTATCAGTACTTTTTAAGTTCTTGGTAACACCATCACTTCATTTTTTAGTTTTTTGTCAAGCAGTCAGCCTGAGTCTGTTTTACCTACAGGAGTATCAACGCAAAACACCTCTCAATAAATCCAATTCTTATAATTATGATCGGAATTATTTTTGTGCCAAACACCTATCAAATTAAAGATAATAAGCCAAATTGTTTGTTCGAATTTTTCACGTGTACTCTTCTCATTTTGATTACCTTAGTGTCTTCCATTCTGGTAAAGGATTTCAATGCACCTTCTGCTTGGCCATTAATTGCCAATCCATATATCATCGAGCCCCAAGCCTTGACATCCTTAACAGGGATCGCTTCAAACACTTCATTTGCCCTTTCAATGCATCCACATTTTGCATACATGTTGACAAGTGCAGTACTAAGTTCAAGATCATTCTCAATCCCCTTCTTATCTATGTAAGCATGCAGCCATTCCCCCAAATCCAAAGCTTCAGACATGGCACACGCAGAGATCACACTCACGAGTGCCACCTTATCAGGCGGAATACCAGACTTCTGCATATTCCTGAATGAATCTAAAGCCTGTTCAGCCATCCCCAGTCTTGAATACCCATTGATCATCGCACTCCAAGACACCACATTTCTCTCTGGAATTTCATCAAACACCTTCTCGCTTAGCTCAATCTCCTCACACTTGGCGTAAAAATTCAGTAATGAGGTCTGGACGAAGGAACTTGATCCATACCCAGATTGAATTACATGCTTGTGAACCTGTTGGCCTTCCGTAAACGCTAGCAGGACCGAACAAGACTTGAGGACAAAGGCCAACGTGAAAGTGTTCGATTTAGGGTAACTTTTTCGGAGCAGACTCTTGAAAATAAAGATGGCCTCACGGGGTGGTGCTTGAGACTCCAAGAACCCTCTAATTAGTGAATTGTAAGAGAAAATCCCGGGGTTTGGAATTCTGGATATGAGCTGTTTGGCGTAGGCAAGGCTGCCGCGTGGAGAGAGGGCGGAAAAAGTCAGGATCTTGGCCAGAAGAAAGGAGAGGGATGAGGTAGAGAGAAGTGGGGAAGTGAGGACATGGCCATGGATTTGGTGGAGAACTCTCAGATTCGGGCATGTTTGAATCACTGAAGCTAGTCGTCTTTCCCGTTCTTTTTCCAGCTTTACTTATTCCTCTCTCTCTGCTTGGCTCTTCCGGTTTTGCAACAAACTCGATTTGTATTTTTGGCGCAATGATAGAAATGCGACTCAACTTACTAAATACGTCCGTTGCTCGAGAGGGTCAATTGTTTATGGATTTAGTGCTTGAACTTTTAAAATTTTGTAGATTTTAGAGCCCGTTTGTCATCACGAAAATCGACTGTTTTGGCTGATTCTGCTGAAATTTATGAAGTTCTGACTGAAGTGGCTGCATTGACTGATTCTGGTGATACAAGAAAAAAACATTTTTAAAATATATTTTATTAGTAAAATAAAGAAAAAATTATATGTAAAAATAGCTAAAATGGTCATCTACATTAACTTCAACCAATACAGCTAGAAAAGTAACTTCAACCTTACTTTTCGGCTTATTACACAATTCAGCGCGCGAAAACAAAATTTAGGTGTTTGGTAAAAAAAGTTGGCTGATAAGCCCGATAAGCCGAAAATGAGGGTTGTCAAACGACCTCTTAATATTTGAAGTCCAATGAACGTGGAGTTCAAAATTCTACAAAAGCTCAAGTGTATTGAAGTTTTTAATCATTCTGATAAAATTATTAAATCATGGTGAGTGTTTAATTAATGGATAGATATATTTAGCATCTATCATTTTCTCTTTTTTCTTCACAAAGATATCTCATAAAATTTTCTAATTCACCTTCTACTCGTCACAAATATGCATCGATCATGCTCGGAAAATGGCTAACTGATCTTAGACCAATACCAGGTCAATAGCTAGAAGACATGTTTGGAAAGCAAAAATGAGGACTCGACCAACGGATTCGAACCCAATGACTACTTAAAACAGCTGGTTGGTAGAAAAGGTTTTTAGGAGGTTGAGAGGTGGAGGAAGCGTCCAAAATCTATTTGACATTTGGATGAGAGTGAATGTGGTGAGGCTAAAAAATATTAATGCTTACAAATCAATATCCTACAGAGTATTACTTTAATATTCCCTTCGTCCTAAAAATTCTTCCTATTTATGAGAAGAATCTTCTCACTTACTAAAAATGAGAAGAAGCCATTCATGAAAACCCTATTTTATGTACCCTTGCTATTTTTACCTTGTTGGCCCACCTTCATCCATTTGTCTCGTCCTCGATCTCTCATAAAATCTTAAAAAGGAGCTTGATCGACTCGAACTCGCAAATGTACAAATGTAGAAATAATAATAAATTCAAAACACGCAAACGGAACAACTTCTGAAGGGGCTTTATATATACATTGGGAGAATGCATTATAAATACTTCTATCATTCTTTAATTCTTGCAACATTGTGATTTTTGCACTATTCACAGATTAAACCCGTCTCAAATTAATTAAACCCCGATTAGGCCCAAATTAACTTTACTAACATAAACTTTATAACACTGCATCCATCCCAATGAACTTTGCACTCTTTGAATTAGGTGAGAAATAAGAATAGTAAAACTTGTGTGACTGAAGTTTGTGCATAGGAGAGATAAATGAGCAGAACTACAAAATACTTACTTTACTCGGAAAGAGGCAAAGTTTTTTGGAAAAACAAAGAAGAGAACGTTGGCAAAGTTCAATAGGACAGAGGAAGTAATAAATAAAAGGTAGATTCTATGGTACCCATAAGGTACCATACCTTTGTCCACATGGACCAATGAGAATGTAGCAGTTGAATTTTTTAAATCTAAATTAAAAATGATAAATTGATGTGGTCCAATCAAATGAATGATAGGTACGATACCATATTTTTTAGAAAGGTGCCAGAGTTGTCACCTAAATAAAACTATAATCCTAGCCCACAACGTACCAGCCCTTTCCCGCCCCTTTGCTCTCTCTGCTCTATCAATTCATCCTCCTTCAGAACAACCTTGTCCTCAATGTTGAAAGACAAACTTGAAATCATACTTATTAAAAAAATAGTTTCGTACTCTTTTAGAGAGGTTGTTTTGTAAGTTTTATATTTCAGTTTTGAATATATTGTTGGGTGAGTCTCTGAAAAACGAAGAAATATTAATTAATAAAAATAATTAATTAATTAAAATAGTCAAAGAAAAACAGAAAGTAGATGAAGCAGAATTAGCCAAAGCTCGTGCAACGCACGATGTCCTTAAAACGTATTCGTTGCCTCCCGAGGTGCTAGGAGCGTTGCAACGATCGTTTCCCAGGATACGATGACTATGAACAATTGTTTGAGCACTCAAACAAATTGTTCCGGCGAACGAGAACAAGTATGAACACGAATGAATTTTTCAGGAATGCTAGAGGTGTATTTTTGAGAGCTAAATCATGCATTTGTGAACGTATGTGTGCGTTTTTTAGAACTGCTCGGAGAGCAGCCGCGTGGAGCAGCGGTCTGCTCCTTGAGAAAAAATAGGAAATTAACAGGAAAAACAAAATTTTAATCTTATCTTTAAAAGATAGATTTTCGGACGGCATTCGTGTCCGCAGGTCGCTCGCGCACGCAAGTCGCGGTTTTTCTTTTCCGTAGCAAGGACAATCCGAAACCACTTTGATCCGACCCAAATCGGAAGTGGGCCCCACTCAAAAAGTTGCCCCAAGATGACAATTTTATGCAATTCATTAACACATTTTCCAACAATCCCCCACATGAATGAAAATTGATTTTCGAGACTTAAAAAAAAGACACGAAGATAGGAGGACACGCTGTGTTCACCGGATGATCCCTGCATACGGAGAGGTAGGTTTTATCCTTTGAAACTTTCGCTGTAAAGACACGTTTATTTACTGGCTGTCTAGTAGACTTGATGTCCTTGAACTATACTGTCGTCGTGTAAACATTGACCTATCTTTACACAGAAACGTTCAAACTTTGTTCCGTTCTCATGGGTGTGCCCGTTTTGGGCATGGGTCACCGTCCTGGTTCTGCAAGAGTTTCCAAAGAACTGAGCCTATACAGTTTTCCTTTGAAGCGGCCCTCTTCTCTCTCACATAGGTAATTCTTTCACGAGTATCTCGCATACTCTTCCAATGTTATTGAGTAGATCAACATTTCAGAATCATTAAAGCAAACATTTTTGCTAACCTCGTGCGGGAGTCATTGTTTTAACGATGAGTGGGTAGGAGTCCGGGACCCCCACAGTGACCATCATTTGCTCTATAATTTAGTTGTCCCTTTTGAACCTAGGACCAACTAGGTTGGGTATCCACTATAGAACGTTTTAATTCACGGGCTTTAGTCCCTTTCCTCGTAACAACTTCTCCAACAATTCTCTATCCAATGCTTTAGTTAGCGGATCCGTTATGTTATCATTTGACTTCACGTAGTCAACAGTGATAACACCCGTTGTGAGGAGTTGTTTAATGGTATTATGTCTACGACGAACGTGTCTAGACTTACCATGGTACATATTGCTCTGTACTCTTCCAATTGCCGCTTGACAATCGCAATGTATGCATATTGGAGGGACAGGCTTTTCCCAACTTGGAATATCCTCGAGAAAATGACGTAGCCATTCAGCCTCTTCAGTGCACTTATCCAAGGAGCTTAGACTCAATCGTGGATCTAGCTATTATCGTTTTTTTCGAGGATTTCCATGACACGACTGCACCTCCCAAAGTGAAAACATATCCACTTGTGGAATTTGAGTCCTTAATGTCGGATATCCAACTAGCGTCGCTATACCCTTCAAGTACAACTGGATATCTTCCATAGTGCAGTCCAAAGTTTTGGGTTTTACGTAAATACCTCAAAACCCTTACTATTGCCTTCCAGTGTTCATCATCGGGGTTACTAGTATATCTACTTAGCTTGCTAACCACAAAGGCAATATCAGGCCTGGTACAACTCATTAGATACATCAAGCTTCCAATAATCCTAGTGTACTCTACTTGAGAAATACACTCTCCACGATTTTTGGTAAGGTGTATGTTTTTATCTAATGGAGTCCTTGCCTCTTGATAAACATCCTTATTAAATTTTGTAAGGATTTTATCAACGTAATGGGATTGGCTTAGCGTTAGACCATCAGGTCCCCTAATTATTTCAATCCCAAGGATTAAATCGGCCAGCCCCATATCCTTCATGTCAAATTTAGAATTTAACATGCTTTTGGTAGAATTAATCATTAGATTATTGCTACTCACGATGAGTATATCATCCACGTATAAAAATAAAATGACATAGCCGTCTACTGTGCTTTTCACATAGACGCATTTGTCACTTTCGTTTATTTTAGACACATTAATTAACATTGCATGGTCGAAATTTTCGTGCCATTGTTTAGTCCGGCTGACGACATGCAATTACTCTATCAAGTAGTGCTTATCTGTTTTTAGTGTATGATCGATGAAGGATCGGAGTGATTAAAATAAACGACATACTTATTGGTTTAAACACATTAATTACACCAGTCTGGGTTCGGGTTCTTCTCCGGACCCCTCTCCTTCGTCCACCGATCGATGAATGATCGAAGTGATTCATCATGCTGTTGCTTGACGGAGAGGAGATGGGTGAAGTATTTCTTTGCACGCTTCCTCCCAGCAAAGTGGGTGAGGAAGCGTTAGGCCAGATCCTGCCATGAGTCTATGCTTCCTTCGGGGAGCGCGTTGAACCACTCGTACGTTGGCCCTTCAAGAGTGGAAAGGAACTAACGGCAGAGGTATTCATCCAATGCATTCACCATCACCATATTGTTCTGATAGCAACTGAAGTGCTCCAGAGGGTCGGTGCGGCCGTCATAGGGCTTGACGGCATTTCCCATGTACTTCTCGGGAATAGGAGCCGAGAGTACCCTCACAGTGAAGGGAGTCTTAGTCTTGACTTGGATGATAGGGTCACCCCTCCCCTCGGCCAACTCCCTTTCCAGAGCGCTGACCTTATGCAGGAGCGCATTGAAACCAGGATCCCTGGACGTGTTGGCCGTAGGAATGGTTTCCGACTGCGTGGCCTCCATCTGAGCCAACCTCCTTTCCAATTGGGTGATGACCTCGTCCCGGGGGTCCTTGGCGGCCGTATTGGCGCCTTATTGGGTGCGCACGCAGGCCTCGTGGGCCGCGTTGATCTGGTGGCGCGCATCGTCCCTGT